GGCCATTGTTGAATTAGAGACACCAGAAACTCAAAGGATGACCAACTTTTTTCCGTCTACCAGATCGCATGGCAGGAAAAGCGTCGGCCACGTGCCATAAGGAGCGCCACGCGCTTGGTCGTCTGCCCTTGCTGTAATGATAGTGCGCCACGCTCCCTAAACTGAGAGAGTCGGGAAAGTTTGTAAACTAATTTCTCTTGCCAATATGATCCCCGTGCTTCAAAGACCATGCATGATGTTAAGGACATGGAATTTAGTATCTCACGCCCTTTGTAGAAAGTAATAAATATAGAGGACCGTTGGTTCGGTGTTGGGAGATTGTCTGGTGTGTGTTAAAGGTAGTTGACAAGCGAGATGCACGTGCAGCATGTGTGTTGACGGCATGACGGCAGGCACGTGCTTGTGACATACATTTCATACCTCCTGGCTACCAGTCGTACTATTTTATTGATAAGTGTCCCGATATCAATTTATATGGAAATGTGTGTTATTGTATGTGTTTTTTTTCCCTTTTTCTAACTTAATTAGCGTCGGGTTGTCACCGTTGTTCGTAATCGATCGGTAGTTGTGCTCGACGATTCTTGTCAGTTATGGCCTATCATACACACATATGTCATGGTGAAATTGACACAACCCTTTGTCAATCAGCATTAATTTCCAAACCTTCCCCAGGAAACATTTCACATAAAAATAATTTGAATTATAACGAAAAATGATTTGATTTAACGTCAATTTGATTCATACCTCTGAGGTAGTTTATCACACTCATCATTAGCCATTTTGAAGCATCAATGACATATCTCGTTCTCAACCTAGCAGAAAATCTGCAATAACAAACCCATCATAAATAACGCACTATTAGCACAATAATGAGCGAGGGTTCTATTGAGATGCTCTAAGTGAGTTCGGAATGTTCCGATCGCAGTCTTTGATCCTTCAGCAAGAGTTGCACGCCCTTCTGACTCGAAGACCCTCACTAGACGGATGACCACACCAGAACAATGGCAACTGTCCACTGGCCAGTGGCCTTGCTGGGATGATCGGACACTTGGACAGTGGTCAGTGGAAGCGACAATAGCAGGGAGACATGTAATTAGGAAAGTATCGGATTCACCTGTGACGATGGACAGTGACTGGTGGGGGTCGCGTCTGTGCCTGCAGTCCAAACTTGTACACATCCACTGGGATCAAAGACCCTCGCTGGGTAGAGGGGACAGGGACCACTATCAATAACACGCGTATAATAAAAAGAAAATATGCACATGTCAAACATAAACAAATTATTCTGGACATCAAATTTGACCGATGTGAAGTTGTAAGGATACTCGCGATTTATTGACAATGACTTGTTTCGATTTGGCTCAAACGTTAGGCTCGTTCGTGCAAGGTCGTATCTGTTTCAAAATGAATATTTCATGTGTCAATAGCGCTTAAAGTGAATTGTATTTTATCTGTCGATTGATACAGTGAAAACCTCTTCATATCCACTTAAGGTACGCGGAAACATGAACACTGGTTTTAAAAAAAATATTCAAAATTTAAACATTATTTAGAAATGTAGTTACCAATTCTTTATATAATGATATGCAAATTGATCAGAAAGTTAATCGTGAGACATATACGACGAGCTCTAGTAACACAAAACAGCGGCTTTGCCCTTTAGGTAAAACTTAGTTTAAGCCATAGAAACATGAAACTTGTCAACATCGAACTGTCATGGTATAAAACTGCCAGGCAATAGAAGGAATACATCCTATTTGATGGAGGCGAAAAATGAAACAAACAAGGAATGGTTATTCGATGGTGATACGGGTATATTTTATAGTTGTGTTTTTGACCTTACGTTTGCAGTTGTCGGCAACGGTTGTAGCGCAGTGACGTTTTGATAACGTTTGTAATTTGTTGGTCAAATCCAATTTTCAAGTGTATACTCTCTTTTACCCGGTGTTACATGTCTGATCATTAAGGGTAAAAAAATATACTTTCACGTTAACAGGAATGAGTAATGCGTTATATTTTATTTCAGTTTCATCACATTTGTACACGTAACACTCCAAGTCAACAATGATGACCCATTCAGAATATTCAAGTTGAGCGATATCGCCAACCTCACGCCTACCCGGGGTAGAAGAAAAGTCATCGCGATTCACCAAGGGAATCCAAGGGACACCAATCGAATCTTCTTTATGGAAGCTAAATTTACATGAAGAAGGGTGTAAATTTTGTTCAGGGTGTTAAAAATAGTTGCGTCCACGCGGGGAGCCCACGGCATCAAAGTGGCCGCTGGTTATACGTGCCGCGGACACACCTGGACAGAGGTGACCACTTTATGGGGTGAGCGTTACGACCGTATTAACTCGAACACGCATTGTGTTTGGTTTATAACACTTGCTTCAACCTATGGTGGTCCAAGAATTTGATAGAAAATTATTAATCAACACCTTACGCCATTAAAAACCCTTTTTATTTCGGAGGATTACTGGCCAAGTTAGTGCGTTACGCCCCGTCGCTCTCTGCAGGAAGGATTGGCGGTTTGTTGTGAGATAGTTGATACTTTGTGCTATATTTGTAGGCCTTTTCATGGCTTACTGTACACAGGCATCGCCTTCAGTGTGAAAATGAATATATATAGCACACGTATTTCTAAACGCGTGAAAAATAGATTATGTTCTTAGTTATTTAATTAACGTTCAGGGGGGAATTATAAAACATGAATCAACAATGATTATTTTGTTGCGATATGATACCTAAAAGGGAGTAATCATCATCATCATCATCAACGTCATCGTCAGTGTTGTTGTTATTACTACGACGACGACTATTGCCACTACTACTACTACTAGTACTGCTACTGCTACTGCTACTGTTGCTGCTGCTGCTACTACTACTACTACTACTACATGTACTATTACTACTTGTGCTGCTGCTGTTGCTGCTATTGTCACTACCTCTACTGCTGGTACTGCTTCTTGCAGTAGAATATCAATGCTCTGATTTTTCTGGCCAGACTTGTTTGGTTCTTGTTAAAATGTAACATAAAATATCTATAATTGACCTATATAAGATTGCGTTTGAGAATAAAATTGGTCTTTAGTTATTAACTACAAAACATGGACGGACATCTGCAAAAGATGTTCGTGATAATTGTAGGTTGCTTCAAATATGCACATCTGAGACCTGCATCACTTCGGGGTTTCCTCCCACATTAAACTGACACGCCGCGATATAACTGGAATACTGTTAAAAGCGACGTTAAACCCAACTCGCTCACTCACTCACTCACTCACTCACTCACTCACTCAAATATGCACATTAACTCGTGATTCCGACTTAGGCAAAAGTTAAGTTAAAAATTCGAAAAATTCGTACATTCTCCTTGACATGACCTTAATGAGATAATGTATATATAAATTTGTGACTTGCTACATCTGACATACGTGTCGCGTAATAGTCATGTAACGTTATAGCAAAGCGGGGCCTTCAATTGCAACACAGTTAAACATACATACACTTGTTTTTTTGTTGATGAACATGCAAAACGTGAGACGATATTCAAAGTATTATGTTTCTATGCGAGCATATACGCAGCATTAATAATCAGGGGTTTATAATCGTATACCTAATGCTTACTTTATAGGATCATATATGAAGCTGACGATCATGACAGTGTTTGTTTGTTTGTTTGTTTAACGCCGCTGTCAGCAATATTCCATCTATATGACGTCAGCCTATAAATAATCGAATTTAGACCAGACAGTACGGTCGGGGTACGATGACACATAATCAAGATAATATCCGATCCTGACTACCCGATCCATTTGGTCGCACCTTTCGACAAACGTACTTTTTGGGGACCAGTTCTAACCCGAAATCCCCGCTGACGTGAATGTGATTGACATTGTACATAGCGTTGTACATAGCGTTGTACATATCACTGCCATTGCCTTTCTAACCTTTAACACGAAGATAATATTGTTTTTGAAAATATATAGTGGATATACACGAATCTGCATACTCGTACAACTGAATAATGTTCGAATGATTTCAATTATTGACGACATGCATTATAATATGAGCCCCTGGATCCCTAATGAGATTTTGGAATGAAATCGTAACCCCCAAGTGTCGTTTTATTTCTTCAAAGCGACACCTTACTAAGAAACCTGCATTTCAAGTGGTTTCTCTGGTGGCCTCGACAAACCTCCCAATCTCTCAGTAGCGCGCCCTACCTGGACCCAGCACGCGACTGCTGCTCGTTGATTGGCTAGTTGACTTGACCAATCAGGTGTATCGCGGCACGCGAGGCTCGGGTCCTCGTGACAGGGCGGATGGCCCCTAAATCATGTCGGAAGCGGTCCTATTGTATGTGTGTCATTGTTGTGATTCAGTTTGTGATTCCGCTACTGCCGGTCGCGTGTTGACCCCGCCCCGCACGCGAGCCACGATTAGCCAATCACAGCACAGATACGTAAATAATCAGTTCAGGATGAAATCTCCAAACACCATCTCTCTGCACGCGGCACGTACCACAAATAAAACAAATTACAATACTTAACATTTGTTTTCGTTTTTTTTAGAAATCCATATAAAATTTTAAAACTAAATCGTTAAACGAAAATTAATGTTCAAACATGTGAAATTAACCATATAAACGGACTGAATTACGAAGCATTTCAAAATATCAAAGCTGGATCTACGTTTTCAAAAAGGTTATATATTTTAATAGGAATGAAGGATATGTTATCATTTAATTTAATATAATTTAGTTCAATGTCGGCAAATATTTCATACATTTTGAAAACCGAAGTCCAGGTTACGCGCGACGGCCCACCCATTAACGAGAGCCTCGGCCTTCGTCCCACCCCAGCCCGCCGCTGTGTCACGTGACAACTGTCAAAGTGTCCGGTGTATTGTGTCTCGCGCCAGACGACAATAGCCACCCCGGGGAGACGAGTATAAATAGGGCAGGGTTCAAACCTAGGCTCACACTCTCGCTGAGACCCACATAGCAAAGTTCACTCGCTCCCTCAGTGATTCGTACACGGATATCCAGTCCAGCTTTTGGTCTGCTACGTTTTTTATTTGACTATTTTTTGTTGTGCCACTTCGAAGATGCTGCAAAACGACGCAGAAGTCAGCAAAGACATCGACATGGTCATGTCTGACAACACCGACGTGAGTTCTGAGGACAGACAATCTGAATGTCAGTCACCGGAAAAGAAGAAACGCACGAGAAAGTCACGAGCAAAGTCACGTGATCCACTGCGCCAGAAACAGGTGGCAGTTTCCAGACGTGGACGCGCAAACGACAGGGAAAGGAACAGGATGCACAGTCTCAACGATGCCCTTGACGTCCTCCGTACAACGTTGCCAACGTCGTCCGACGGCAAGCTCACCAAGATCGAGACCCTGAGAACAGCATATAACTATATTTGGGCCTTGTCTCAAACGCTGAAGATCATTGACAGTGACGACAAGGTTCCTTCCACAAAACCCGAGATGGACACACCACCGTGCGCCTTCACCCCCAGCAACCCTGTCTCACCCTCCAACGACTTCTACATGTCCCCCCATCCCGAGTCCCCCAGCAGCGACATCTCAAGCCACTACAGTCAGCACGACTCCACTTTCGTCGACAGCGACTACAGCCAACACGACTCCACCCTCGTCGACACGATGACTCATGGGTCTTTCTCCTACACGGACAATTCCGAAGCCTACGCTTATCATGACAACCAGGAGAAGAACTTTTACTACCAGAGTCCGAACAAGCCCCAGCAGTATTCCCACACCACCCCATACGAATACCCCAACGGACAGTGTCTCTACCCCTTCCCGCACCCCCAGGGAATGGGCAGCCTGACCTCTCTAGTGCTATAGAAGGTATTCGGGAAGCTGACTGTCTGTGATATAACCTCGTAACGTTGTGATGGCGTTTCGAAAGAACTTTCTTCCAAGACGTATTTTGTGAATGGGTTCACTAAAGACTTTGATCTCAGGATTTCACCGATGTGCAATTACCAGATGGACGTATTTCAGTCAGTATATTTTGTATTGTGCCTTCGCTCCGATGGTTACCTCACCACCAGGTACCGTTGAACGCTTGTATATGTTCATGTTTATCATATTTGTTGCTATTATGAATATGCTCAATTTGAGTAATGTTGATACCCTATGACTGTTTGTCTTTTTGGCAACATGATTACAATAAAATTTGTTGATCATAACTTCATCCTTATGTTTTTATTACTTCATATTATTCTACGTATGTTGCAAGATTATTTCGAGTCGAGAAACGAATGCTAAATGTATGTTTACATTTGAACTGCGGAAAAAGCGTCGTTTAGAAACACTGAGTTTTGACGACATGATTTTCATCACCTGGGTCCTTTAAAAAAAAAAGACGCTTGAAACTAACGGTTTTTCAGAGCAGTGCAGTTTTGTTTATTTACATCCACATAACACGTTCGCATATTGAGCGAATGTTGTTTAAGGCTACATTCCCATGTAGGGTGTGGCCGCTTACATTAAGATTCGCAAACCAATGTGAAGTATCCTCTCTGAGTATGTATCATTACGTTACGCCACCTAAATCATCAAACTTGATCATACAGAAATGGGGACAGGGTGGGGGAAGGTGAAATGGGGTTTAGCGTCGATGTGTTCTTCTTTATATCGTGCCAGTGGGGTAGCCCATTGGTGAAAGCGTTAGCTCGACTCGTCAAGCTGAGACCAGGTTCGGTTTCCTACAGGTGTACAGTGTTTGTAGCCTTTTGGGTGTAATAATATTGCTACCATATGGCTAAAATTGGCGTAAAACAACTTAACACACTTAAGCTCACACACTCTTAAGTATCGTATCGTCATCAAATGTGTACTCTATTTGCCGTCACACATCTTTGATTCAAAACTCTTATTTCCTTCGTCGTTTAAGACATTTCAAATTGACTCTACCATCATGTAAACGTTTCATAAAACATTTATTTTAAGTACTTTGACTTTTAACTTCAATAGTGTCACAGTATACACACAGCTGATATATAGGAACAGACAATACGCAGGGGAATTGTTAAGTCAATTTAGTTTAAGATTATGAGGGAAATAACAGTTTTGAATTACAAACTTTTTCAAAAATCTTATAACAAGAGATTCTCATGAAACTAGCGCATTTCGCCTGTTTTTAGTATTTCCCATGCCAGCAGCTCCGCCACAATGCTAGGAATGATTCTCGCGGGCGTACATACGGGAGACCACTATTCTAGTTCGAACGGCGAGAAGGACAGGAGGTTAAAACTTTTTCGCCACATTGAGGACCGGGATCTATTCCCCGCATTGACATACATAAACTTCATTCTCGATGTCCCCAACGTGCTATATTGCCGAAATATCCCTAAAAGCTGCGCATACCACACTTAAGGACAGCAAAAGGTATTCACGCAAAAATAACTACTTTTTTATTTTACATTAACACATAGTTAGTCTATATATTTGCTGTTCATATTTAAGATCTTGTGGTGTTTTTTCTAGTCACGACATTGCGTGTCACGTATCATCATTGAAATTGAAATCTTTAGTCACGATTTTACTTTACCGGTTACGCCACTTTGTTTATAGAACATATTTTCGAAATACGTATCGAAAAACAAATTCACATTTACGCATACAGTCGAACTAAACAAGTAGTTATAAGCTGTTTCCAAGAAGACCATATATGTTACGATAGTTTTTCTATGATCACATCTTTGCAATATGTGTGGTGAATGTTCCTTTTCAATTCGTATAATATGACTGCGAAGTTTAAACACAAATTTTAAACATCTTTATTATATCCAGGGAGGGGTTATTTTATAGTTCAACGTTATTGCTGCTTTCATGTGCTACAATAACCCAACATAAACTAACCATATATGGGTTGAGTTATAAAAAGTAGGAATCACATTTTGTTTTCAAAAGTTCCAATTAATTATTTCAAAAAGTATATCTATACATCGATCTATATCAACAACACGATCAAATGGAGCTTGTTTATGGATACAAAGGAGACCAATTCAATAATTGTTTGACGCAAGGGCAATATCATTAATCCCACGTTGGTTTTTTTGGTTTGGATTAATAAAGTATTAATAATACGATTTCATGATTTTTTACCTCAAAAAGAGCAACCTAGTGTTACCAGAATACAACGTACATTACACCTGAAACACAGAATGAAGCCGGCGCGTGCCTCTTGAACAGAGGCCACGCGCAGGGTCAGAGGTGACTTGGTCTAAATACGGAAAGTGCTGCAACTCGGCTTAACCCGCTATTCTCCGTGCTCAGTCGGCCATAATCGGCCCACCCTCTACTTCCAACAAGCTCTCGAAAACTCACAGATCATTTGGGATGGGCAGGCATCCATGAGACTTGAGAAGTACGTTCTTAAACCGATAAAATAGTATAGATAATTGATAAAGGTGTTTGAAAAGTGCATGAGTTTATTTTATGACTGGTCGTCGCTCGCGTCAACGCATCGCCCGAGTGTGAGGGGGTAGATCGAGCTCCAACAACGACACAGTGGCGTCCGATTATTAACGCCTGTCTATTGAAAGGGACAATGGGCCGACTCCTAGGTATCCTGTATGATATCATTATGGTGTGGCAAGTACAGCTGAGGTGTATTAGATGAAGATAGGGCTCTATTCAGCCGGATGATGGACTTAGGCTGATAGTGACTTGTACAGAAATTAATGTTCCGAAAAGCATTTCCTCTAACACCAAAAACCACTCGTTCAGACCCGCTGCATAATGGCAGGTCTACAGACATACACACACTCTCAAATGGACCCGAGCGAGGGAGTGAATGAGTAATAATTTGAAGTCACTTACTTCAGTCATATTGTGTCTAGAAGGTATCTATTTACATTGTTTAAAAAAAAAAACAAAAAAAAACGACGAACACTACACTGTCTAGTAGCATATCATATTACTAAGTGCGGCGTTAAACAACAAACAAACAAAAGTGGCATATCACAAGTTTGTATTAGAGTAGAACAGATAAATGGTCTCACGATTTCCATCCTCGATTATCAGGTGTCTTACAGATGAGGAAGAGGAAGGGGGATAGTTTCTCCCCTTCTGTATTATATCTCCAATCGATTATGAAAAATACCCTGGACCTATTTGCTACCAAAGTTTCGTTTCGGAAGTGATGACACCATCTCCATGTATTATATCAATCACTAACTAAGCACAGAATTTCTCTCGCTTATAAGTGTAATATGATTGGACGGCTATATTTAGCGTCGTCTCATTCAAATCGGACTACAAACCATGATATAATGGCGAATGGGTCCAGGGTATTCAGCATCAAATGATGAGGATAGTTCCCATGGGCAAATCGACGATTTTACACAAGCATATACTTCCCGAAATAAAGTTAAGTATGAGGTTATGAAAACAATTCTGGAAGGGAACTCCCCTTTTCCAAGGAGGGAGCACGGGTGGCCCAGTCGTCTAAGGCGCCATGACTCGCTGTGCAGAATTGCGTCCCTTGGGGACACCAGAAACCTATGATTGTGTGTTCGAAACCGGTTAGCCCAGATTATGTTTCTAGGTTTGTCAGCACCATACCCGTGCTCGTGGGTTTCACCGAAGTGGTAAACGTCTGAGACCTGCATCGCTTCGGGCTTTCCTCCCACATTAAGCTGACACGCCGTGATATAACTGGAATACTGTTAAAAGCAGCGTTAAACCCAACTCACTCACTCACACACCCCTGTACTAAGGAACCATCAAGTCTCTTAATGTTCAGGACCTAGGCTGACAATGGGATGCGTATAGGTTGTTACAGATCAGAAGGCGGTGGGGGTTAATGCTCTCAGTAAGAGAGACTACTCAAAGATGCCAAGGAACACCCGATTCTTTCACCTTTCTCCATGTATGTTTAATCTGCTATGCCAGGACAGATTAACTATTGTCATACGAAAGAATCGGATGGTCCTTAACTTCTTTTGAGAAGAATATAAATGGTGTTTCTTGGAGCACGGAATTGACTTTGATTATTTTCGTCACCCAGCCATAGAGACACATACATCCACCTGAACTGCGTGTATCGTTGGCAGCACAGGAAGGTGTAATGTACTGGCAGTATGCAGCAGGTGCAATATGTCAGCAGGTGCAATATGTCAGCAGGTGCAATATGTCAGAAGGTGCAATATACAGGCATCTCCCAATCAACTATCTAATAGGTTGCTCCAACCATCAGTATTCACTATGCAATCAGTGATTCAATATGCCATAGGTTCAATATACAATCGATACACAAAACGTTCAATATGCAATCAGTGATTCAATATGATATAGATTCAATATGCAATCGACACACGAAAGGCTCAATATGCAATAATTCAAATATGCAATCAATATTGAATAGATTCAAAATGTCAGAGGGAGCAACATAAAGTTGGAATTTTATAGTCAAATACCCAGTGTCAATACCCAGTGTGTTCATTGTTGAAGACACAAGGTGCAATAATTATGTCAAACGGTGCAATATGCGTCAAAAATTCAGTTTATGCAATACGCCAAAATATGGAATACATGAAGATAGTCAACACCGAATAATCAAACCATATAGTCAAAGTTATATGCCATTGTTACATTTTTTGCACAGCTTTGTGTTGAATTATTTTTTTATGAAATCCTGCAATGACATTGTATTTGTAAACATTTAGCAAAACAGACGCGCAATCCATTGTGCGATGTATTAACCACAGTTTTAAACAAAAAGTGTATTATTATGTATTACTAATATTGATGTTCCTAATTGCAATGTGACATAGTATATGAATAGAACAACCTGACATGTTGGTAATTAAGTTTCTTCTGTTATCCTGGAGACCTGTGAAGAACCGGGGTAGAATAGGTCTTCAGCAACCCATGTTTGCTGTGAAAGGCGACTATGCTTGTCGTAAGAGGCGACTAACGGGATCGGGTGGTTAGGCTCGCTGACTTGATGCATGTCTCTGTATCCCAATTGCTAGGATCGATGCTCATGATATTAATCACTGGATTGTCTGGTCCAGACTCGATTATTTACTGACCACCGTCATATAGCTGGAATATTGCTGAGAGCGAGGTTAAACATCAAACGACCAAACTATTATCCTGGAACGCTTCCCCATGCTGGTAATATATGTTCAAGACATGAAGCTGTTGTTAACATCGTGGTCTAG